AAAAAATTTTTAATGTATAAACCACTACAATAAAAACAAGAGAAAACATATCAGGCAAGAAACATCAGTGTTAGAAACTAGAAAATGGGGCTGGCCCAGTGGCACACTGGAGAGTGTGCCGCTTCGGAGCGCGGCAGCACTCCCGCCGAGGGTTCGGATCCCATGTGGAGACCGGTTCCCGCTCACTGGCTGAGCGCAGTGCGGGCGCAACACCGTGGGTTGCGATCCCGTTGCCGGTCCCCGGTACAGGCGCGACACCAAGGGCTGCGATCCCGTTACCAGTCAGTAAAAAAGACAAAAAGAAAAAAAAAAAAAGAAACTAGAAAATGGATATATGAGTAATTATTTAGCTTAAGTACAGCAGAAAAAGCTTAAACATGAGCTTACAGCAGGAAAAGATATTCAAGATGCAAACTGATCCAGTTCATAGAACTTGCAAAGAATGAGAAATTGGAGACACATGGTACTTCTAAAAGTGGATGTGCCATATGGATCTAGAAATAAGAGACTGGGTGTAAAGTCTTTAAAAGGAACATTTTACCCATGGAGCTCCTTCCCTATTTTATATAGTCACACTGCTTCCTCTCTTTATCCCTGACAAAAGATAAGAAATTTTACTCTCCAAAGACAACAGACCAGAAAGGTTCTAAACTCAGACACCAGGTACAGCTGAGGCCAGAATAACCAGCATATTAAAATCAGGTGGACTAAGTGAAAGTCTACATCCTGCATATGGTGACCACTCCTAACCTGTCTCCTGCTCACCCTCACCCAGGCAGGAGTTTAGAGGATTCCTTTCAAGGAGAACTGACTAGGCCAAGGAAAAAAATAACCCAGTGAAATGGTCAGGTCCATACCAGATTATTCTACAGTGAAGCCCACTGAATAATAGTCTTAGCTCACTTATACTGAGTTTCCAGTCATCATTTTAGTAAATCAACAACACAGATCATGAGATATTTGGGGAAAGTCTCTAAAATTAAAAAAGAAAGAAAAAAAAAATCAAAAGAAACAGGTGGGGGGGAAGAACTCAGATGAAACAGATAATGCAGAAGCAAAAGAAAGCTTCATTTAAAAAAAAATTCTCTAATGTCTTGAGAGAAATAATAGAAGATAATATATCCCTGAAACAAGAACAAAAAGCAAAAAGCTATATAAAAGCTTATTCACAGAGCAAAAAGGAGCCTTTGGAAATTAAGACAATAGTAAAAATTTTAAACTCAATATAGAATTATTATAATATAAAGCTGAGATACTCTCTCAGAAAATAGACCTAAAAGAGAGATGATAGGAAAGACAAAAAAAACCAAGAGATCCAACATATGAGTAACCAGAGTTTCAAACAAAATGAAGAAATCAGATTATTTCAAGAAATATTCCTAGAACCAAATAACATGAGTGTCTATACTCAATGAACAAAATCAGGACCATAGCAAGGCATGTAATCTTGAAATTATAGAACACTAAAAAGGAAGTCAAGATTGTAAATGCTTTCAGAGAGAGAAAAAAATAAAAACAAAGACTTGGCAATTAGAATGGCATCAGATTTCTCAAAAAGCAATACTGGAAGCTAAAGAATAATGGAGGAATACTTTCAAAATTCTGAAGAAAACTGATTTCCAAACTAGATTTGTATACCCAAACTACCAACTCAATGTAAGGGTAGAATGTAGAATAAAAACATTTCTAGGCATGTAAATTCTCAGAAATATACTTCCTACTCACCGTTTCAAAGGAAGTTTTTGGCGGATATTTTCCACCAATAAGAGAGAGTCAATCAAGAAAGAGAAAAACATGAGATTGAGAAAACAAAGGACCCAACATAAAAGAGGGGCATTCCCTGGATATTGGTCAAATAAGATCCTGAGATTAAAGCTATACAGCAAACCTGGAGCCTAACCAAACCAGATTGGAGCAGGTCAAAGGCTGTTGGGGACTTCTGCAGGATAAAGCAGAAGGATCCATCATAAGTGAGCAATGGGAGGACATTTTCAGCTCCTTTGGAGAGTTTGGGAATGAATGAATGGTTGATAGATTAAAAATTAACAAATGAAAACATTTTGTTTAAATATAGGTATATTATTAGCTATAACAGGCATATTATTAGTTTTAGAGAAACCAAAAAGTTTATACATTAAAGTCAGTGTAATCCAGGGCTTAGCAAATGTTTACAAACTTTGATTAAACAAAAAGGAATGATAGAGAAGGGAAAGGTGTGTGTTTGAGGAAGGAGAGTTTGTGGGTATTGTAAGAGTTAAGTCCTCCTTTTATAGTTGAAAACAGAAAAATCAAGAAATTTATATGCTTTCTAGAAATGCAGAGGAAAACAAACTCCATGAAAACATAAACAGCTAAATGAGGTACATGCAATAAATATTTATCGAGTGCCCACTATATGTCTAGGTCAGGGTTTCTTGACCTCAGCACATTTTGAACTTGGTATTGGTTGTGGGGTGCTATCCTGTGCATTGTAGGATATTTAGCAGCATCCCTGGCTTCTATCCACTAGATGCTAGTAACACCTCTCTCGTTGTGACAATCAAAAATATCTCCAGACATTGCCAAATGCCTCCTGGAGGGCAAAATATCCCCCCAGTCGAGAACTACTGTGCTGAGTAATAGGAATACCCCAACAAACAAAACAGACAAGAAGAGCTGAAAGTGGATTACCTCTGAGAAATAGGTTCAGGGGTAGGAAGGAGTAGAGCAAGAGACTACTGTTTCTACTCATAAGTCTTGTAGAATTCTAATTTTTCAAACTATATATGAATATTACATTAATAAAAAAGAAAGCAAGTCATCTATGAAAAATATAAAATCCATTTAAACTTTAATTAAAAATTTCTACACAAGGCAGGGCAGAGTCATGCAATTCTAGATTTGAATTCCAGCCCCACTACTTACTAGCTACATAACCTTAGGCAAGCAACTTAAACCTTTCTGAGTCTCATTTTCTTCAACGCTGTAAAATAGGAATACTCAGGATTGTTGAGTGTTGCATATTATTTTGCAAAAAACACATAATGCAGGTCGTATAGTACCTGCACCTAAAGCACTCGATAAATCATAACATCCTGAAAAGTACACCCAGGCACCTAGTTTCCATACGCCAAATCCTTGGGGAATAACCATGGTGCTCCCCTAACTTGTCATACATTAGAATCGTGAGGCCATCTGGGTGGCGGACCAGAACCCATGCCACTTATAGAGTGCACTGTAACTTTGCTCTTAGAAAATCATCATGTATACTGAGTAAACAACTAATCTGATACATGAAGAAAGTTAATTGAAATAAGTAACAAATAGCAATAGTGTTAAATCTTATCTGGGTGGTAGACAGCAGAAGTCCACATAAACAGCAAGCAATTATTTGTATCATGGCTTTATGACAAGCAGTTTCAGTCAGCCCTCCAAATCCATGGGTTCCACATCCACTGTCTCAACCAACCGTGGATTGAAAGTATTTGAAAAATAATAAAAATAACAACACAACAATAGAAAATAATTCAAATAAAAACGAGTACAACTATTTACATAGTATTTACATTGTATTAGGTATTTTAAGTAATCTAGGGATGTTTTAAAGTATACACAAGGATGTGCATAGGTTATATGAAAATACTACTCCACTTTGTATAAGAAACTTGAGCATCCGTGGATTTTGGTGTCCTTGGGGGGCCTGAAATCAATTCTCCATGGATATCGAGGGATGGCTGTATATATACTTAAAAAAAGAATTTACATTTTTGTGTGGCCTTGTTTCATTATTTCTTCCCACTGCTCCTTTCTTTTTTTTTTTTTTTTTTTCCATGTCCGGCAACAGATCGCAACCCTCAGTGTCGCCCCCGTACCGGACCGGGACCGGCAACGGGATCACAACCCTCGGTGCTGCCCCCGCGCCTCGCTCAGCCAGTGAGCGGGAACCGGTCCGCATGTGGGATCTGAACCCTCGGCGGGAGCGCCTCTGCACTTCCCAAGCGGCGCACTAGCGCAGTGCGCCACCGGGCCGGCCCTGCTCCTTTCTTTTAATAATTTTTTGCATGTCGATGAGTGAGCTATTTTTATTTATTTATTTATTTAGGTTTAACTAGGTTGAGATATGAAACTTTTTTGTCATAAAGTACTTATATTCCATATCTCATTACTCATCAAAAATATTAATCATAAGGGCCGGCCCGTGGCTCACTCGGTAGAGTGCGGTGCTGATAACACCAAGGCCGCGGGTTCGGATCCTATATAGGGATGGCCGGTTTGCTCACTGGCTGAGCGTGGTGCTGACAACACCAAGCCAAGGGTTGAGATCCCCTTACCAGTCATCTTTTAAAAAAAAAAATATTAATCATAATAATGACATGATTTTTTCTTATGTGGCAGTCTAAATGCACTGTAATCACTGTATCAGTCAATCCTCACAATGTGGGGTACTACATGATAGTATCCCCATTTTATAGATTTATTGATTGATTCAACAAATATTCATTGGACACCTGCTGTATGTCATTCATTCACTGCTCCATGCTGGGAATATAGCAGTGAATGAAACAGACAAAAATCCCCATGGAGCTTATGTTCTAGATAAACAATAAGTAAAATTGACAAGTACTGGGGGGGAAATAAAGTGTTGAAGGAGAATAGGGTTTCTGGAATGGAGATGGTGTGTAGTAATTTTAAATAGGATTATAAGGGATAGTAGCATTTAAGTAAAATCATGAAGGAATTGAAGATAAGGAGACCAAGGCTCAAAAAATTAGTGACTTGTTCAAGGTCACAAAGTTAAAAAGCTAATAAAATTACAGCTGAACACAATAAGGCAGGCACCTGGAACCATAGTGCATCACTTTATATAAGCTATTGAGTCCTATAAAGATTTGGGGGGGATTAGTCAAAACCAAGCTAAATCTGTTCATTCAGATATCTCTGATAAGATACATACATTAGAGTATGTCTGTTAGTCCAAAGATGGAAAGAAAACATTAAATGTGTGTTTATTTTCATTTCAGGCCAAAGAATTCCAAAAAACAAGAGAGATTCCCAGGAGGATATGGTGGAACTACTTCAAAAAGATTGTAATTATCACCATGGCAATTATCCTTTCAGTCATTATCATTCTTTTAAGTATAAATGTAATACCAACCTGACCCTTTTCTTCCCACCCCCTACAGGTACCAATAAATTGTTTTACGTAATTATAGTGTTCTACAACCAACAACTATGAAATCATTCTCTAGTGGTAGGAGGATTGGAGGAAAAGGAGGTTGGAAGTATTTTCTTGTCCCTTTAGTGTCCTTTGACTCTTGTCTGTGTGCCTTCTCCATTTCTGTAATCCCATTTTTTCTTTTCCACTGCACTCTTCTTCCCCAGCCTCTCTTTTTTAAAGATTAAGAGCACAAACCCTGGAATCAGACTGCTGAAAGCTGCTGGGAAGTAAGGAAAGCATTCATTAGTAGTGTTTCCCTGTTATTGGTGTAAGAGCTGTCAGAACATACTTGAGTAGGAAAGAAACAAATATTAAGGCAATCTCAGATTTTTTATTAATTTATACATTCAAATATTGTTGAGCTCTCAGTCTGCATCAAAACAGTTCTAAAACATTAGGATTTATTCTAAGTTACCACGTAGAAATAACTGATGCCTGAAAAATACAATGATGTTTGTATATACAAGTGTAAAACATGGCCCAATCCTAAGGAAAGCTTACATTCCAGTTGAGGCAGCAAGTCCAACAAAAATCATAAACACGTTAAAACAGTGTTTACTTAAGTGGCATATTGCATGCAGAGAATAAATTCAGGAAGGATGATCAACACAGGCTCAAGTCACTGGGGAAGACTTCATGGATTATAAGTGGGATGGGAATTGGATCTTACTAGAAATTGAATATATATCAATAGATAAAGGCAGTCCAGTCAACACTAACAATTAACTTACTGAGCACTTATTATGTGCCAGAAACTGCTGTAAACACTTTACAGAATTCTTACTTAATCCTCACAACAACCCTGAGGTAGGTACTATTACTTCCATTTTACACATGAGAAAACTGAAGCATACTTATCACCTGCCCAAGTCCACTGGGCTAGTAAGAGAAAGGGGGATCAACAAATGAAGACACTGCTTGCTGTGGGGGTGCACAAGGTGGACTGGGACTTGGAGATCAATCAGGCAGTCGTTAATGCATTCAAGTGGTCTGCAGCAGAGCTCGGCCTTTGGTTCTCTTCATTTACCACTCTCCAGGGTGCTTTTATTCACTCCCATGATGCTGCCCTCTCCAACTCTAACCTCTCTTCTGAATTCCAAACTGTTTTCCAACTCTCTAATGGATATACCCACTTGGAAATCATGAAGACACTTCAAATTTTAGATCCCCACACCCAGCTATATATTCTTCCTCCTTTCCCCACAAAACCTGATTAATTGACCTTATTTCCAGTGTCAATAAATGGGATCACAGCTACCCTGTAATCTAGAACCATGTTAGCCTACCTTGACTCCTCTCTTCTACTCATCTCCTTTCCAAATTAGTCACCAAAATCATGGGGCTTCGGGCCAGCCCGGTGGCGCACTGCTACAGTGCGCCGCTTGGGAGTGCGGTGGCGCTCCCGCCGAGGGTTCGGATCCCACATACAGACCGGTTCCCGCTCACTGGCTGAGCGAGGTGTGGGCGCGACACTGAGGGTTGCGATCCGTTGCCGGACACGAAAAAAGACAAAAAGGAAAAAAAAAATCATGGGGCTTCTATTTCACATCTCCTAAAGGTTCATCAGCCAGTGAAGCCCAAAGAGCCTCAAAAGCAAAAGTAGGTAGCCCCGAGTGTACTCAGGGACGTTTTGAGAAAGGGCATTTATTCTGTCATGGTTTATGTCTACCCCATTAGCCTGGCCATATCATACTCCTCTTTGTATTGTTTGCCCAGTATGTATAGGCATTAACATTTGATACTTGCTCATATGCATGATTTCTATAGCTCTTAAGCACTGCAATAGCAACGACCTATTGGTTTTCAACCCTCAGCATCAGAATCACCTAGGGATCTTAATAACATAAATGCCTGGGCTCCACCCCTTAAGATTCTGCTTAAGTCTGGGATGAGGACTCAAGGTGTGTTTAAACTCAAAATGAGGTTGAGAAATGCTAACCTCAAAGCACTTTTACATACCTATCATTTAATGTCCACATCTGAGGAAGACATTATAATTTTACAGTTGGAAAAACTGAGGCTTGGAGAAGTTTAATTGGCCCACATCAGTGGGCAAATGACATAAAGCTGGGCCTCAGAACCATTCATTTGAAATAATCAATTTCATTGAATGTATTAAACTAGAAATTTTGAAAATCTGCTAAATACAATGTCCCACACATTTTAATAACCTGAAAAGTATTATTTTAACTTATTTTGAAAGTTCATATTATCCTATTACAGAATCATGGCCTCTCAGAATTCATTATAGAATCACGGCAGAACATAGAATAACAAACCCTTTATTTCATTTTGGCCTCTAATTTTTTAGAAAAAGGCACATCACAAGTGGTTACAAAGAGGTCATTTCTTGGGGAAAAGACCTGCTCAGCACCACACCATGACCTGACACAATGGTAATGGTTGACATTATTGCTATTCGACATCTAATTCAATTTACCATTTTCCAAAGAAAGTCTGTGTAAAATGGTAAACTTGACAGCAAACATCAGCATACAGAATCTTACTATTGTCAAACCCTTCCTCATGAACACTAGCAAACTGGAAATTGCCGTTTTTCTTCCATCAATTTCTGCAACTCCTCAACTTTTAATGGTTTGACTAAAGAATCCCATCATTTAAAATTCTTGCGTCACGTTTAGAAATTACAGCAGTTACCTTACCTTTTCAAGTAAGAAAATAAGACCTATGTTATTTCAAGGTATTCATTCATACAAGAGGGGGAAGCTTATATTTAAAAAAAAGAAAAAGACAGTGCAAAAAATGCATGAGTGCTGTAAGAGTTTAATTGTAAGACAAAAGCACTACTACATTAGGATTTAAACATAATCTTTCAGAAAAGAAAATTCAGTGGAAATTAAAACCCCATGAAAGCCCATTATAAACTTCATATAAAGACTCTAGAAGGCTTCCAGAACTGGAAACACTAGGTTCCAACATAATTTGTTTGGGAGAATATGTCGTGAAAATGTTAAATGGTACATAGAACATGTTAGCTTAAAAATCAAATCAACCAGGTACTAAAAAGACATGCTGATAGGTCTTAATACATAAAACTGATTAGAGGTAGCATGCTTTATATATCAATGATTGTAGAAGCAATTTACAACAAATTTCTGAGCATTTCCAAGTATTATTTACTGTCTTAGCCAATCTTTTAACTACACTGTAATCATCAAAGGCCATCTTCCAATTTTTGTTTTAAAAAGGGTTCCTCTTCAGTCTCACACTGGTGGTTTATAAAAATGTGATTAAGCTCTGCGTAACCCAAAGCCATCCATACAATAAAAAAGACAATTATAGAATTCCTTTTCTCAAGTATTTATTCAAAACATAACTTCCATGACACATTAAATGTCACATTTAGGTACTGGCATTAACAGACCTCTTATGTTTCTTCCAATACTTTTTTTTCCTAAGAGAAATAAAAAAGCCAGGAAAGTAACCTTCCTTTTAAATTCTAGAGTGCAAACAATACAGCCTATCCAGTTACAAAATAAAACATATACAATCTTGAAGTATCCTCTCTTCCCAACGCCGTGACTTGTTTCCCAAGTAGAGTCCAATAATCTCTATTATCATTGTTTAATGAATTAGTGCCTATATCTACACTTCCTTTGAAGACTTGGAAGAATTCCTCTCATCACAACTAAAATAATGGTTTTGGACTGCTATAACAAGAACCTTGCTCTTATTTGGTTTCTAGCTCCTATAAAGCATTTCACCCTTTTTTAATAGTACACTAATTTTGCAAATAGAATAATTTTATAATTCTTCCATGCCCTTATAAGAACACCTGTCTGTCCCCCCAAATTCCCTGGCCTTTACAGGGTTTACTGGGGAAAATTCACTAACATTTAGCAATTACCATACTGCTGTGTCTTCCTAAATTACATAGGTTCCTGGGTCCCACATTCTTTACCTAGGGCTACTATACTATAGCCATTTATAATGGGAGGCTGCTGGACTTAACCTTCTTGAAGATCTAAAAGGTCTAGGGACAATGAAACAATATATATAGCCAGCCCAACTCAAAATAGCAAATCATTTTCAGAGTTGCTGATTACCAACTCAAAACAATACAATAGATGACTAAAACCAGTGACAAAACCAAAGGAAGGCAGAGGCAAGACACAGACAATAAAGGGATCGTATTGCCCACAGAATTAAAAATAAAAACCAACTCACCATGTTCCCAGCCTGCAGCTTCCCCCTCACTCCCCCTACTTGGGACAGTACTATATTGCTCATTGTTATCAGATGTTTGCTCATTAGGATACTAAAAATCTTTGATGTTTTCTCTCAAGCTAGACTTAAGATCCCATGATTAAAATGTTTAGTGTTTTATGAAATATGTACCCTGGTCTTTACAAAACGGGGTAAAAATGTTTAAAAATAAAAAAGCCTTATGAAACAGCATATTTAACTTACCATCTTAAAACAATGAACCTCAACACATTAGTGCAGCTAAAATTACTTGAAGTGTCTGAAATACAGAATCCCAGGCAACACCACCAAACAATTCTGATTTATTGTTATTCTGATGTAGATGGCCTCCAGTCCTCTTTGAAATGCTAGATTATAACCAACTCTTCCCCAGTTTACAAGACTACAGGTAACATAACAATTAACAGGCCACAGACTCAATTTGCACAACTGGCTATTTAACTTGCTAGAATTATTTTACCCATGGAAATTTTCAGGCAAGACTCCTAATATATGCTAAATAAGTTATTTTAAATATGGCCAGTTAGTGAAGAAAGGATGTATCCTTCTCAACCTTATCAAAAGTAGGTAGTTAAAAAATCATTTTATGAATAGTTTGAGATCATCCCTTAAATGTTAGCATACTCATAAATTATACTTAAGAAACTTCTTCCAAATAAATTTACTTTTTTTGAAATGTGTTACTGTATTGTGCATGAATCTACATTTTGACATTTCAGGCTACACTGATCCTAGGCCAAATAAACTCAAACATTTCAGGACCAACATAAATACTGTGGTAGACAGTGGCTTCAGTACTTCCGGTTTCAGAAACTCCTAACAACCACAAAAAGGAAACTTCCAAGCAGTAAAATAAAAGTACATAGATTAAATGAGTTTCTATAGTACTCAAAAGGCCAATAATTGGACCCTAATGTTATTAGTGAGACTACCTTTCAAAATCATCTCAGCATGACCTAGCACTTGGACAGGTGTTCCACACATTCTAACCTGTGCACACAAAGCACAATGAAGCAATTACCATACCAGTGTGGAAAGAGAAATATGGTTACAAGACTTGCAACCTTATACACATTTCAGGTTAGGAAAAGAATGAAAACAAAGAAACCCAGAACCCCAGGAAGAGAAGTTAACTCACCTGGTAGCAGACATCTACTAAGCCAAAGGGTATCAAAAATTTGTTTCAGGACAGCAGACTTAGAAAGCTCATTATTTGAGAAAAAGTGGAATAAGTATTTTTAACAAGTCTACAAAACTGACTAAGAATTAAGATCAAAGCTACATAACACTGCCCATTAGTAAATACAGGTTGATTCTGTAATAAGCCAGCCAAATTCTGGGTACTGGGCTACCTGTTAATATTTTACTTTTGTTCCCCTTAACCTTTCACCACTGACCACCCACCCACCCACCCACAAAGGCTGCTAAAAATAGACCATATCATGTTCTGTCCCTTTTGAAATCCTTCTAAAAAACAGTAATTTTAAAAAGTGGGGAGGCGGGGGTGGGGGGGGTGCGGGAACAACACATTAAAAGAAAACCATATCAACAAACAGCAGGAGACAACAGCAACAAAATTATAGAAGCTGCGAAGCTTATGAACAAATGGTAACTGACTAAACAGACTCTAAGAAAACTGAATATTGTGTCAGCTATGAGGACATGTCAGATTATACCACAGATTGAAGAACTGGAAGCCCAAGTACCTGTAGTAATATAGATAAAAGTGGTTAAAGAGGGTTGGGATGAAAGTCTTTAACAATCAGTTAAACCCCCAGATCATCTGTACTGCTGGACAATTCACTCCATCCTGGCAGAAAACTGGATTTATTCTCTGAAGCAGGTAAGAGGTTGTCTTTGGACTGAATGAAGAAAGTAACAGTTAACTTGTTAAAATCCCTCAGCCTTCTTCTCCCACTGTAATCAGAACACTGGCAGCCAGGTTTTTCTTTACACTTTTAGGCAGGTGAGTGGAAGACTTCTCTGATGAGACTGAACAGCTTGAGAGAAAAAACAAAGGACGTCTCAAGATGTTCCTCAATAAGATGACAAAGCCAGATCGCCCAACAGTGAACCTATGGTTATAAGTTCCCCTACCAGCTCAACACACACATTTATTTACAACATCCAATTAGCTTTTAAAATGCTCCACTCCTCAAGAGAAGCCAAGGATCACCAAACATCTGAGGAAAAATTCTAACGCAAAAGCCAGAAGCCAACAGGTAAGCATCTCAAAGGAAACAAAACTTTTAAACAAGTTATCATTAATAACCTCAGAGATGCAAAAAAGATGTGTCCATGTAAGAAAAGGTTGTTATCTATTAACAGATTTGGGGGGAATGGGGAGGGTCCTCCAAAGTTAAGAGATTGAAAGGTTAAGATCCTTTCCAAAAAACAATGTTGAAAGATTAAGTTGTAGAAATCACTCAGAAAATAGAACAGAGACTGAAATGAAAATCTGGAAAAAAGATGTCCAGAGCTCATGCCCAAATAACAAAAATTCCAGAGAACAACGATTGGGGTAGTAGATGGGGAAAGAATCAGTTCAGTTAACATTTCCCAGAACTGAACAGCAAGTATAAACAAGACCCAGAGTGCCCAATACAATGAATGAAATAAACCTAAGGCACAGTCATGAAATTTAAAACACTAGTAAGCGATAAAATCCTAAGTGATTTCAGAGTAAAAAGATTTCATATATACGATCGAGATTCAAAAAAACATCAAATTTCTTCAAACCTAGAATTCTCTATCCAGCCAAACTAGTAATTCTCAAAGCTATTGGAAGATATACTGCACCAAAAAAAGAAAGCCATGGGATCTAGGAAGCCTAAAATCTAAATTGAGGTAAAAGGAACCCCAGAATGATGGCAAAGCAGCTACTCAACAATACTAAAGGGCAGCCAGTTCAGAGTAGAATATGGAAAATCAGCAAGAAAAATAAAGCTGGTAATTAACAAATGGATTTATATAGATGTAAAATTTTTTTAATTCTGTGCAAATCTGGAAATAAATTAATGCCTGATGGACAGAAAAATATTTACCTAGGCAAGATAGTGCCTGAAGTGGATATGAC